GTTGCATGGTTGGATAAAGCGACTAAATGCCTTTTTGAAATCGCGTAGTAGTTTTGTGGGCAACGCAAACGCATGGGTACTTGCTATCTCTAAACTAAACGTTGAGGAAGGACGGCGAGGCGCCTCGCGCGACGATCGCATATCTCAAATGCACGTCGTCGAATGCACCTCGCCTAGCACTGGCGATGACACAAGCTACGATAAACCAAACATGATCGTCGGCCACCATATCGCAGAGCACTTTGTTCTTGCTGCTGCCAGTACGACGCATCTACCTAAAGATACGCAGCCATCCATGCGGCCAAGCCGAGTTGGCGTCGGCCAGATGCACGAACCCCGCCTTTCCGAGACGTGGCGCAGCGGCAAGTGTGGCGATGACACAGGTCGTCGCTTCCAGATCACGTTGGCCGCATCACGTTGACCGTGCTCGACCAGACCACTAGCAGGCTACTGGGCGCCGTCGTACTGGCCACCACGGCCGCTCAGCTCTGCCGCTTGCACGCCTTATGTGGCACCCTCGCAGAAATGGCGTCCCGATAGCTCGTCCCGATAGGATTGTATTCATCTCAGGATGTGCCGATATTTGTGATCGCATCCATCCGGCCCGGGTGTTGTTGATTTGGTCGCCTTTTTGACCAATCGAAAGCGGAAGCCGTGCCCGCCATGACCTGCGGAAGGGATCCAAGGCGTACGGCTGCGACGCACGATGGCCCGTACACTGCTCGAGAGCGTGGTCGAGTGGCGGTGGGTGATACCCCAAGACGGCGTCGATAGCGAGTCCGTCCTCGTACGTCCTTGGGCAGCGTCTCTATGGATTGACGACGACACTGGATGCCATGGCTTCATGCTTGTTGGCGCGGTCGCACGTTCTTTTGTCGCTCGAATGCTTTTCGCGCTGGTGCCGGAGCAACCAGATCTGGACCATTTTCGATCTTCACACGGTTTGCGTATCCGAAAAGATATGGCGTCGTCCGGTTGTGATGTTGAGTTGGATTGGTTAAAAAGAAGCCAATGAAATGGGGAGAAACGTCAGTTTTCAAACCGACGGCGACGGAGGATGCTAACGAGCGACGAGGTAGAACGACGACGATCATGCGACCTGCGACGATGTGGCGATTGTCAAATGTAGAACGCGCTTCTCAACGCTGCACGAGATGGCAAATTGGCTCAAGTCCAATCGTATCTCAACCAAGGCGTCAACGTCAACTGCATGGACAACGTACGTTGGATCTCTCAACTGGAATTGTTTTTCATTCATACTCCATTGGAGTAGAATGGTTATACGCCACTGCACACGGCTGCTTCCAGCGGTCATGTGGACGTCGTCCGCCTCTTGCTTGAAAAAGGCGCCAATGTGAATGCCTGTGGCCCGGTATGCTATGTGTATTTACGAAATAGTGTGGTTCGATTCGCCTGAATGCATTTAACGTCTGTCTAGAATGGTTATACGCCACTGCACACGGCTGCTTCCAGCGGTCATGTGAACGTCGTCCGCCTATTGCTTGAAAAAGGCGCCAAACTGGACACCGAAAACAAGGTACGTACAGCGACCATGTCGTTGTTGGGTGCTGCCATGACATGGGCCTTCAGAGATCAACAATGAACAACCATTGTTGTCTCTAGGATGGCCAAACACCGCTTGAGGTCGCAGAAGCACGCAGTTTTGATGATCCAGTCGCAAAGCTTTTCCGCGACTATGTTCACATGCAAGGCGAAAATCAGGTATTTAGTCGATCATAATGGCAGGCTTCTGCAGCGTCGATACTTACTCTCGATTCTAGCTCTTTGACGCATTGCGAGAGAAGCGCGTTGATGACGCCATGCGCCTTCTCCAAAACGACTATATACGTGCCAACCTCCGCGACAACGTACACATCTCTTGTTTCATGATATGTTGTTGATATTTATAACATTGAGTGTAGTCTGAGACGCCATTGCTGCACTTGGTCGTGTCGACGCAGGATCTGTCGCTGCTTCAAAAAATGCTTTCAAAACCTGACCTCGAGATCGATGCCAAAGACGCGGTATTCCCATAATTTGTCTTCGAGTCTGATATTTTCACGTCATTTGTGATGAAATAGACGGGCCGCACAGCCCTCGCAGTCGCCATTACCGCTGACAACGCAGAGGCAGCTCAAGCGCTGTACCAAGCTGGCGCATCCATTCTTCTCGTCGATATCACGCCTTGCGCCTCGGTGGGCTCATTTGAACTCCGTTTTGATGCCAATATTGACGAAGTGGTACAGCGTCTATGTTCTTCAACGCCAGTCCTGATCGCCGCTTTGCGCCAAGCAGCATCCGCCAACGACGACAAAACGGTGGCTCAACTATTGCGTTTGGGCGTGAGCTGCTCACTGGGCGACGAGGTACTGTATAATTTGGAGTTGGAAGGTCGACAGCATCTTGGGTTTGATGTAGAAAGGCGCGACGGCGTGGCATGCGGCGGCTGCAGCGGGGCACCTGTCCGTCCTCACGATGCTGCTCCAAGGGACCAAGGAAGAGAGTGGTATCAACGCGACCAACCACGTACACTCTACTTCGTTTCGAGTGTGTTGATTTTAACATTGGTGTAGAATGG